AAGTGGCGGGGAGGCGGCCCAGGAAGGCCATGTGGCATCAAGTCACATTCCTAGAGGGCTCAGATGCATTATTTTCCATCTTAGAACTCCACTAACTTCACTGAAAGGAAACAGCCGCATGATTATTTTCCCTTATTTTCCTGATGTGGAACCTAAAGCTCAGAGAGAGAGAGTGGCTTTCCTTAGGTCACACAGCCAGGAAAGGGACAGAGCTGGAATGTGAACCTGGGTCTGCGTGGCCGCTATGCCTACCTCTGGGTGGTAGTGGGGAATGGTTGGAGGGGCCTGAGGGAAAGCTCTGGAGGAGCTGTCTCACAGCAGAGACAGGAAGCAGGATCTAGTACTCTCAGAAGGTAGACCTGATGGAAGTGGTCAGGGCAGCTCTCAACTCAATGAAACATGTATGGTTGGGGTCATGGAGCGGAGGCCATGTGAGAAGGTGAACTCCTATCACCAGAGGCTTGCAAGCCATGATGGAACAGCTGCTTGGAAAGAGTGCTTTAGGGGAATGTGTGCCCTGGAAGGGAGCTCAGGGGTCTGGGGTTAGAGAGGAGTTGGTTTCTTGGGTCCCAAATTCTTTCTAGGGTTGAAGGCTGGTGAGTGTCTGACATAAGGGACTGTTCTTGGGCTGGTCCCTTTGCTGTAGAACAGAGTAAGGAAGAAATTTTGCATACTACTAAGCTGTGTGCAACATGGAGGGGGTGATTGGGAAGTTGAGGAGGGATTGGACACATTCACAGCAAAGAGCTACTCTCAGGGGCGCCTAGGTGACTCAGCCGGTTAAGCATCTATCTGCCTTCAGCTCAGGTCATGATCCCAGGGTCCTGGGTTTGAGCCCCGCATCAGCTCCCTGCTCTGCGGAGAGCTCTCTTCTCCCTCTCCCTCTGCCTGATGCTCTCTCTACTTGTGCTCTCTCTCATTCTCTCTGTCAAATAAAGAAATAAAATATATTTTTTTAAATAAATAAAATATTTAAAAAAAAGAGCTACTCTCAGCTCAGGCTCTCCAGGTCAACCTCTGAAGTTGTACATTGCGGGGTGGGCAGGGGAGGTATATGGTACCTCCATATTGCAGATGAACTAGGGGCAGCTCAGAGAGGAGTGACTTGCCCAATGTCATCCAGCCAGTCAGAGGCAAGTGAGGATTTGATTTCAACTTGATCAATTTCTGAGTATATAGTGGGTACACACAGTAGGTTGCCAGCAAAGATAGGCAGTGAGAAGTTTTTCTGACAAAATTTTAAAAAACCACACACTTAGAACAGTGGCTGGGAAGGAGCCCTGGGTGTGTATCTGGATTTCTATATCATGTGTACATCTGTTACTTGCTCTTGTGCTAAGTGCTTTACTGTATCACCTGATTTTTTTTATAGGGGATGAGTAACAAAAGCAGGAAAGTTTATGAAAGCAAAAAGTACATTCTCCAGATATGAGAGTGGGTGAGCTCAAGAGAGAGAGAGCTGCACCTACCTGACTAATCTTTATAACAAACCTTGAGTTGGATTCTTCTGTTATACCCATTTTATAGATGAGGACATTGAGGTTCAGGCAGATGGCCAAGGCCCCCAGCTGGTAAGTGGTAGGGAGGGGATTAGGACCCACATCATCTGAATCCACATCTTGCCTCTTAGCCTACTTTATAACTGACAGCCTACCTTTGCCTGAAGCTGACCCTGGGCCTGAGGCTTACTCAGATCTGGATTTTCACAGCCCTGAGCTCAGTGAGCTTCTCAGGCTGCATTGTGGCAGGCAGACAGGTGCTACTTGCGACGGGCAGAGCACCGTTGGGCCACACCTGGATCATCCAGATGCTGTCCAAAGGTCTGGCAGGCTAGAGCAATGACTGGAGTAGTGACTGGAGCAGTGATTCAGAGCTGCTGGCCCCAGGTGTCAGAGCAGGAAGGGAGGGAAGGGGCTTCGGTTTGGGGTCTGCCCTACCTGGAGCTGGGCAGAGAGACCAGGCTGACTCCCTTGGTCTGGGAGGCCTGGAGCCTGGAGCCTTTTGGGGAGCTGCCTGCCCTTCTCGGTAGTTAGATCACCAGCGATCCCACCACATCATGACAAAACTAATATCCATTGGAACTCTATGCTGTGTTGGACACTGTGCTTGGGACTTTATTTTTTAAATGACTTTTATTTATTTACTTACTTATTTATAGCATGAGCGTGGGGAGAGGCAGAGGGGGAAGGAGAGAAAGAATCTCCAGCGGACTCTGCTGAGCACAGAGCCCAACATAGGGCTCAATCCCACGACTGTGCTCAGGACTTAAAATGCACGACTTCCCTTCACCCTCACCACCACCTTTGAGATAGATTTCATACGTTATCCACAATCATAGACAAGGGACTGAGGCTTAGAGAGGTGATGTAACTTACCCCATCACAATGAACCTGGCCATCTGGCCCCTGAGCCCAATCTCATAACAACCACTTTTTAAAAACGATTTTATTTATTTTCAACAGAGAGAGGGAGAAAGAGAGAGAGAGCATGAAGCAGGAGGGTGTCAGAGGGAGAAAACCTCAGAGCTCCGAGCCCCATGCAGAGCTCCATCCCAAGATCCTGATGACCTGATCCGAAATCAAGAGTCGGACACCTAGGCACCCCTTTTAAAAGATTTTATTATTATTTTTTAAATTTTATTTATTCATGAGAGACACAGACAGAGAAGCAGAGACACAGGCAGAGGGAGAAGCAGGTTCCTCACAGGATCCTGGATCAGAGATCACATCTCGAGCTGAAAGTGGACACTCAACCGCTGACCCACCCAGGTGACCCAAGATTTTACTATTTTTAAGTAATCTCCATACCCAACATGGGGCTTGAACTCATAACCCTGAGATAAAGAGTCACATGCCCCACCAACTAAGCCAGCCAAGCACCCCTTAACAATCACCTTATAATAATCATCGCAAGTGCCGTCCACCTCCTGCAGTGTCTGCTCCTTGGAGACACACAAGAGGACATGCCCCTTGGGTATCAGAACTCAAATCACCTTGGCTCCCAGATCCTGACAGTTGGCATGCTCTCTGTCTCCCTCCCCTCCATATCCCTGCCCCTGTGTGTGTGTGTGTATGTGTGTGTGTGTGTGTGTGTATTCAGTGGGTGGATACTGGACGTAACAGATCCTGGTTTTTTTTTTTTTCTTTGCTTTGTCTGCTGAGAAGCTTAGAGTGCAATTCATGACCTTCTGACCAGTAACCAGAACTCAAATATTTTGTGGATTCTCTTCAGGCCTATATTTTTGTTTTTCTCATACCTTTTCCCTTCATCCTGTTTTCTTCATCTTTTAAAGCTTGTTGAGGGATCCCTGGGTGGTGCAGCGGTTTAGCGCCTGCCTTTGGCCCAGGGCGTGATCCTGGAGACCCAGGATCGAATCCCACGTCGGGCTCCCGGTGCATGGAGACTGCTTCTCCCTCTGCCTATGTCTCTGCCTCTCTCTCTCTCTCTGTGACTATCATAAATAAATAAAAATTAAAAAAAAAGCTTGTTGAAACATATATTTCCTTTCCATTTTTAAAACTGTGCTAAAATACACATAAAACTCACAATTTTACTATTTTCAAATGTACAATTCAGAAGTATTAAGGACATTTATAATGTGGTGAAACCATCCCCACCATCCATCTCCAGAACTAATTTTTTTTTTCCAGAACTAATTTCATCTTGCAAAACTACAACTCCGTCCCCATTAAACAACTTACTCCCTCTCCCCCAGCGCCTCTGGTAACCACCATTCTACTTTCTGTTCCTATGAGTCCAACTACTTTAGACACCTTGTGTAAGTGGAATCATACAGTATGTGTCCTTCTGTGACTGGCTTATTTCACTCAGCATAATGACCTCAAGGCTCATCCATGTTGTGGCATGTGTGATAAATTCCTTCCTTTTTAAGGCTGAATAACACTCCATTGTGTGTACACACCACATTTTGTCCATCCATTCATCTGTCAGTGGACACTGGGTTGTTTCCATGTTTTAGCTAATGTGAATAAGGATGTTATGAACATGGGTGTACGCAAAGCATATGTACTTTGATCATCTGTAGGTGGGGGTAGGGAACAAACATACCTAATAAAGTGCCTGACATATAGTAACATCTAATCTATATCTATTGAGTTGGGCACTGTCCTTGCCCATGAGGAGAGGGCCACCAAGGAATGGCTGGTGACCTCATACTGGGGGTCTTCTTTCTCCCAGATCAACACAGGGATGGTTGGGCCAGTGGCCAGAGAGGGATCTGGGGGCTCAGACCCTGCTGGGAGCCCACAGCACCTGGATGGTATTTAAACCCAGGGTGGCTCAGGGAGTTAAGCATGTGCCTTTGGCTCAGGTCATGATCCCAAGGTCCTGGGTTCAAGCCCCACATCAGGCTCCCTGCTGAGCAGGGAGCCTGCTTTTCCCTCTGCCTCTGCCTGCCACTGCCTCCTTGTGCTTGCTCTCTCTCTCTCTCTCTCTGTTAAATAAAGAAATAAAATCTTAAAAAAAAAAAAAACAAAGCCAGCCAGGGGGTGGATGAGCCTCTGGGGGAGGGGAGATACCTCCTGAGGGGCTCAGTGAACGGGAATATTAGCAACAATAGGCAGGAGAGTGCATTATTCAAGCTCATGGTTGCCCTCCCTCTTCTCTGAAAACCTCACAGATGCCTCTGAACCCTCCACTTTTGATCCCTCTCCTCCCCTAACTACTCTCTCGCCTTCTCCACAGGCTTCCTGTCACTGAGGCCTCTTCTAGCTGGGAGGGGATGGGGCTCCTAGGTGTCACTTTTTGACTGTTACCCTGCCCACCTCCTGCAGGTCCTCTGGGCTCAGGCTCTGCCAGGCCTTTTCTCCCGTGGCTGGAGCCTCCCATTCCGTGTCACCTCAGTCCTGCCCTCTTGCCCCCTCGCTAGCCATGGTCCGAGCCTGAGCCTGTCGAGGAGTCAGTCCCATCCTTACCATCCTGGGGGGTGTGGTCTCTGGCAGGGTTAATGATTGCTCAGGGGAGGAGGAGATGGTGCCAAAGTCTGCTGGCTGCTGCGCTGTCACAGGCCCCAGAAGGTGCCCGCTGGCGCCTATCCACCGCCTCCACAGCCCCTCTGGGGCACAGGTAGGGACTGCCCAGCCTGGCTGCAGCAGGGGCTCAGGAGACTTCTGGCCAGTGGTAGGGACCTAGTGGGGTTGTAAGGGCTGAGGTGGGCTCTGGGGGTCCCACCCAGCTGGGTGGGAGTGCCGGTACTGGGTTGGGTGGATCTGGAGCAGCTTCCCAGTCTGACAGTGAGGCCTGTTTCCTCTCAGTGCGGGGCTGGTACGATTCCCAGATTCTGACGGCTCCCCTCCCTTCCAAGTCCTGGGGTCATTTGGACACAGAGAGTTTTCTTCATAGGACAGAAGGGAGGCAGTTCCCTCAAGCAAGCACGGTAGCCTGCCTGGGCCTCTCTCACAAGAAGCTCAAGGGGGTAAAGACAGAGTGACTGGGCTTTCTCCCAGAACAAGGACAAAGAATGGGGCCCTGAGCTCAAATGCTTGGGTTCAGATCTTAGCTCCATCCTGGCTTTGTGGGGTTCTGTAGCTCTTTTGGACCTTGGTTTCCATATCTGTAGAATCAGGGCGGTCACAGCATGGGAAGGGAGCTGGGGAGCCCTGAAGCAGAGCCAGACCTCTGGTCCACCATGGATTTGAGTGCCACCTCAGCCAGCGCTAGGAAGTGTCTGGACTGGGGGCTGGCCCTCAGCTCTGGCTCATTCCAGACTTGGGTGCCAGGTGGAGACTCAGCAGAGAGCCATGGGCAGGGTAGGCCTAGGCAGGCACTGCGGGGCTGGGGCACCAGATGCCCAGCTCGGGCTCAGGGAACAGTGGGATCCAACTGATGGAAACCTGTGTGTGGACTCTGTGGGGACTCTATGGTTCTTAACCTCACCCCATTTCTTAGCAAGGACACTGAAGGGCTTGCCTGGGGAGTGGGGTGCTGGGGCCATAGAGCACAGTGAGTAAGTGTGATTCTGGATTGCAAACCAGGACCCTTTGACTCCATTATCTGTCTGCCGTTGAAGCAGTCAGGGTGATGAACACTGGAGGCGCCCCATGGCAGGGAGCCCGGTGCCCTTGGGGTCCACAGCCTTGCACCAGTGCTCCCTGGATGGGCCAGCATTTGCCCATGGAGTCGATTGGAGCCCAGACGAAGGCTTGCCCAGGGACTCCAGGGATTCCTGGATTTTTTTTTTTAATTTTTAAAGATTTAATTATTTATTCATGAGAGATACACAGAGCAGCAGAGACACAGGCAGAGGAAGAAGCAGGCTCCATGCAAGAAGCCCTATGTGGGACTCGATCCCGGGATTCAGGATCATGCCCTGAGCCAAAGGCAGATACTCAACTGCTAAGCCACCCAGGCATCCCTAGGGACTCCTGGATTTAAAGCTAGTCTGGATCTAACACTGTGTCCCTTGCTCTTGGATATCACTCTTTGAGCTACTCTGAGCCTCAGTTTTCTCACCTGGACCCTGGGACAATAATTCCTACAGCTAGAGCACAGCTGTGAGAAGTAAAGAGCGGAAGTGAAAGTATGTGGTGAGCTGGAGGTGGTAGTGGCCGTGGTGGGCAAGTTAGCTCTTGGGTGGCCTGTGGGTGATGAGGGACACTTTCCTCTCTGGTCCTTCTGGAGGCCTTGGGCACATCTAGTATCCTTACTCCCAGTCTGGGAGATAGTCTGAGAGCCCTGGACTGTTGGGACCTGTGGCTGGTGCCTCCTCCCACTGGGGCCAAGGATCCAGTGCTTCCAGGGCCAGGGCGAGGGAGCCTCCTTCCAGCCAGAGGGGCCTCCCTGGGGCCCTGCATGTATCATGCAGCCAGCAAAGGTTGAGAAGCACTCTCATTCACCTCTGTGCCCTTTTTTGCCCCTTTTCTAAGCAACTTTTTGAGAGTAAGGAAAGTGTGGGAGGAAGGAAGCTAGAATTTCTAGAATGTATAGAGTCCTATTTTTTAGAAGGCAACCTGAGAGATGGAAAAGAGGAAAGAAGAGCCTCTGCATGTGGCTGCATGATATTGGGGCTGAGGAGAGACTGCCTCCTTTGAGCCCAGGCTACCTGGTGTAGCAGAGGACCTGGGCAGATGGTGTAGCAGAAGCCCGGGGTGGATTGGCCAGGGCACCGTGAAGGCCTTTCCCCAGTCCCAGACCATAGGCAACTCCATTCAAGTCTTGTTCATTTGCAATTGCTCTGTCCCCTGCCCCTGCTGGGAGACCAGGAACTTAGAGGCCAGAAGACGGCCCACCAAAGCATAAAGAGTGGCAGGGCACCTGACCAGGCCTTAGAGGATAGAGAATTTGCATATATGCAGACAAGGGAAAGGGTTCTGGGTGCAGGGGGCAGCACATGCAAATGCCTGGGGGGAGGAAAATAGAGGGTGTGGACTGAGAACAGGGGCATTTAGTGCCACTGGACCACAGGACAGGGAAGGGGAGCAGCTTGTTGGGAAGAGAAACCTAGGACCCATGAGGACTTAGCCTGCGGGGCCCAGGGGCAGGAAGTGTATCCCTGCAGCCAGCCAGAGCCATGGCAGAGGTTTGTGCTTGGGAGTAGCCATGCCCAGTGGGGGAGGTTTATTCTTGTTCCTTCTCCAGCTCACACGGGCCCTGTTTGCATTTTTCTCAAATGACCAAATCCAGAAATGACACTCTGGACCAAAGAACTTTGGCCTCATTACGATCAAATGAGTGCGTGTGTGTAAAAAGTCTCTAACAAGGGGCCAAGACTGAAACTCAGGGTGGAGGCCAGAAAGAGCACTGGACTGGGTGGGATGGGAGTCAGAGGGGTGGCATCCAACTTTGCCCCCAGCTGGCTTGGAGACATTGGCAGGAGCCTCATCCTCCTTGAAACTCTGATGTAAAGGAGGTTGATAGCCACCTCTCCCTTCTGGAGGGATGGTCTGGACCAGATGCAGAGGCGAGACTTTGGGTATGCCTTACTCTGGTGTAGAGGGTCATTGCTGTTGCTCTGAGTAAGGATCAGAAGGCTTCTTGAGGCCCCTTGAGAATGGGAGGGGAAGTTGAAAGAAGCTTCCACGAGCGATAAGTGTAGCTGGCTATAGGAAGGGGACCTCAGTGACCCTGGAGGATGAAGCTACCAGTGAAGGGTGCTCTCCCTCTACCTTGTCCTTGGGAGCCCTGCAGTGTCTGGGGGAAGTCTGGCTGATGAGGAAGAGAAAACCAGAAGCTGGGAAAGAGAGAGCACAGACTTCCTGCTTTGGGTTCTGATCTCATTACTGACTGGATGATGTCCCTTCTGCTCCTGGATTGTGATGTGCTGAGGTGAATGGCACAGGGTACAAACTGCCAGGCATAGCATATGGCCCATCCTTGCCAGCTTCCTTCCCTAGGAGGAGTGGGTCCCCAGGGCAGGAGTTTCCTCTTTTCCCAATTGTACTTTGTCATGGTGAAAAGCACATGTTGCATGCCTGTGGCTACATACTTACTCACTAATTGTCCTGTGGCTGCTGAGTCACCTCTGAAGGAGAGGAGGCAGGAGAACAGAAGAGGTGAGGGGTGAGGTCCAAGATTGCACAGCAAGGGGAAGTCAGGGCTAGCTACATCCAGCCAGTGTAAATGTGCCCGGGATTTTGCCACGTGGTGGATGCCAGCAGCCTACCACCATCACCAGTGTCCAACTCCACCTGTGGGGCTGCTGCACGCTTGCCGCTGCCACCCCTCCCCCCATGGGCTGCCACCAGCTCCATCTGCCTCTCCACCCTCATCATCACAAATGTTACAAGTGCATCCGTCCCCACCTCATCACCACCACCACCATCATTGCTTCCATCCCCACTGTTATCCCTACCCCCAGGCAAACTGATGTCCTGGTTCCAACCCCACCTCCATGACTAGCTCCAGGACTGCCTCAGTCACTACATTTGACCTCAGCCACATCAAGCCAGCACCCTCCACAGCACGGCCACCTGTTTCTCACGGAGGACTGGGAGTAGCAGTCATAAGGTGAAGATGACCCCACAATAGGCAGAAGGAAGGGATTTGCATTTGCTGAGCACCTTGTGTGTGCTGAGTGCTGAGCTGGCAGGGTCTATTCTCATTCATTCCTCCAACCCCTTATGACTCCTTAGGGTTGTCAGTCCCATCTTACAAATGAGGAAATGGGCTCAGAGGAGGGCGCGAATTGCCCAAAGAGCCTCTGTTGCTTCTCTTGAGGGTCTATAAGCAATTTGCGTCTCTGACCTTTAGTTTCCCCATCTGTAAAGTGGATATAGCGGTGCCTATCGTGAGTGTTCTCGTGTCAAGTAGTGCCCAGCTCAGTGTCTGGCACAGAGTAGATCTTCCTTATGTGGTAGCATTGGTGCTCACTGCCATAAGGCTTAACAGCCCCCACTTAGGCAGTCCATTGAGGTATTCCATTGAGATGTTGGTGACATCTTTCTTGACCATTCCTTGGTGTTTCCACGCTTAGTTACTTCCATTTTCCATGATCATAAATAACCACTCGTGATGAGCAATTTGCTGCTGAAAGAGCTTCCTTATTTTAGGTTTGTTGGGTTACCAGGTCAGAAAGGACAAATATTTTGAAGGTTTGGGGTTCACAGCTGAACTGGGTTTTTCCCCTCCTCCTGGAGCCCTGGCAGAAGGTGAAGGTTGCACTCTTCCCTCTGTGCATGGGAGAGACCCCCTCACTTGTAGCTGTGAGCTCCTTTGAGTCTGTTTCTTTGTCTGCAAAATGGGTTGCCACAGAGGTTAAATTACGTGAATTTCAAATGTCCTGCCTCCAAAATATCTCTCTATTCTTGCCTCTTAGTCTCTGTCACTCCCCTGGTTAAAACCTCGAAATGACCCCTCTATTTTCCTTAGAATACAGCAGACCATCCACACCGAGTCTTACAGGGTCAGGTACCGGCTGCCTCTGTCTGCTTCCCTATCCCTGTTTCCCTCCCTGCCCTTCTCTCCCTTTGCTCCAGCCACAGGGCTCCTCTTTCCAATTCCTAGAACACACCCAGTTCTTAGGTGACCAGGTGCCATTCTCTCATGTTGACCGGGCAACCTGGAGCAACCTTATAACAGTGCTTGCTTTAGTAGTGTAGTATGGAACTGAATTTTTTTTCAAAGATTTTATTTTTAAGTACTCTCTACACCCAACGTGCGGCTCCAACTCACAATCCCCATATCAAGAATCTCATGCTCCACCAACTGAGCCAGTGGAAGTACCCCCTGGGTACTGAATTTTAAAAATTTAAATAATACTACAAGATTTATAATAACAATTAGCTTCTGAGTTTCCTTTTCCCATTATTTTTGTTTGATTTGGCTTGGATTTTTCAGTGTCCATCACTGGTGTACAGGTTTCTACAATTTGTTTTTGTATTTGCCAATTTCCATGGTGTAAATACTTCCACCCTGGCTGATTTCAAGCCACAAATATAATGCCAACCAGCTTGTAAAATTCTTATAGCTATGGCAGTTTTCATTAGCATCTCCAGCATGCTATGGCATCTGTCTTCCCTTCAATGTCTGATGGTCCTTGTTCATGACTAAGAACAAGGCTCTAAGTCCAGTGGGGTCCCTGGGTTGTGGGGGAACTTTTCTTTTGGAGGCCACGTCATAATGTGACCCAATGGATGCCCCACATTTCAGAATCTGTAGGTTTTTTTCTCTTGAATGGGTCCATTTTCTTTGTTTTTCATTTCTGGTGGTTGGAGGAAGTGCTCTATCATCATCTGCCAGTGCTTTTGGGACGGAGATGGGGGTAGGGGCTGAGAGGGTCACCATTTGGTGTGCAGTCTTTCACTTAGCCACCTGTTTTGTTGTGGTGCCCCACCTCTACCAGGCCTAGTGCCCCGGGGACAGATCTTTCTGATTCAGCCTCTCCAGAAAGGAGGCTCTAAGTATATTTTCTAGTGTGTGTGGGAGGGTGGGGTGTCAGCTCCCTCACTGCATGGATGGGGGGAATGGTGTCTGGGAGTCCAATGGCTTCATATGCAAACTTTCAACCAATTTTCCCGCTTTTAGGCCACCCTGCACCTCTGTTTCCAGGAACTTCTAGAACCTTCAATCCTTGGCCTTGCTGGGCTTTTGAGCTGGAACCTGTGGGTGCCATCCCTACTCTGGTTATTTGTTTATTTATTTATTTATTTATTTATTTATTTATTTATTTATTAAAATTTATTTAATTTATTTTTAAAATTTATTTTAGAGAGAGAGAGAAAGTGAGCAAGCGAGCACAGGTGGGGCAGAGGGAGAGGGAGACAAGCATATGCTACACTGGGCAGGGAGCCCGATGTAAGGCTCTATCCAGAACCCTGAGATCATGACCCAAACCTAAAACAAGAGTTGGACACTTACCCAACTGAACCACCCAGGTACCCCCTACTCTGGTTTTAACTATCATTAGCTTGATAAGTTGTTCATCTTTCAATTCTTTCTTTTTTTCTTTCAAACTTCTATAATCTACCATCGTTTTAGTGGTGTTTCAAGTGGAGATGAATGCTGATTCCTCCATGCTGAATAGGGAGCTTTCTCTTCCACTCCTCACAGATTGTCCTTTTCTTGTCCTTCAGACGTGTCACTTCCTCAGAGACTCTGCCCTATGCATTTCCATTATTCACTGCTGTGTAACAAACCACCCCAAGACTTACTGGCAAACAGCAACAGTCATTTATTATATTAGAAATCTACCATTCGGGCAGGGCTTAGACCAGATGGCTCGTTGGGGGGGTAGAACATCCTTTTTGGGATGGTTTATGCACACAGCTCCCTCACATGGTTGGGTGGATGTTGGCTGTTCACTGGGAGCTCAGTTGGGCTGTTGGCCAGGGTCATGAGTCTTTTCAAGAGAGTGCTGGGGCTTTCTTGTAGCATGGCTGCTGAGTTCCAAGAGAGAGTGTTCCAAGAGACTAGAAGGGGAAACTGCCAGTATCTTTGGGCCAGAGCCTGGAAACTGGCATGGCATCACTGGAGCCATATTCTATCAGTCAGTCATGGGGCCTGCCCAGATGTCTTAATCATAAAACCAGTGGGATTTTTAATTTATGGAGATGACTGTGTAATGACATTGAAAAGCTAAGGCCATTGAAAGATTTTTATTAGAGGAGAGGGCCTGCCATGCCATGTAGGGCCACACGGGGAAGCATTCGGTCAGGACGTGGGAGGAGAGAGGAGAAAGCGTGACCCAGAGCCTTAAAGCATTTTCCATGGGAAGGAAGGTAGGAAGGAGGCTGCAGGTCAGGCAGTGGAGCAAGCTTAGGATTGAATAGTTGGAATAATTTTGGCAGGCTATAGGGGTCGTCCTTAGTTGTCCAGTGCTTGGCTCTGGGGTGACTCAGGGCAGGGAGAATAATGACTTGGTGTATGAGTTAGATGAAGGAGGGAGTTGGAGTGTGGGCTCTGGATTGGTTGGTTTGTACAGGAAAGGAGTGTTTGCAGGCAAGTCATCTGCCATCTCTGGGAATCAGCTTGCCTGGGGAAGGTTGGCAAGGCGCCCTGAGATGTTAAAAACCTCATAAATAGAATGAAAACGTAATGAATGTACCAGATTCAAGGGGGGCAGACATAGTCTTCATCTCTTCTTGGGAGTAGAGTCAAAAGGTTTGTAGCCCTTTTTATCTGCCATACTGCCTGAAGTAGCACCTCTTTTATGCTCCTACAATGGCCACATTCCCTTTCTTCATAGCATGAATGCAGCAAGCAGTCAGCACTTCATTTACTTGCTTAGAGTCTGTCTTTTTCCCAAAAAAATATTTTATTTGTTTGAGAGAGAGAGAGAGAGAGAGCAAGAGTGGGGTGAGGGGCAGAGGGAAGCAAATTCCCCGCTGAGCCCAATGCGGGGCTCAGTCCCAGGATTCCAGGATCATGACCAGAGCCAAAGGCAGACACTTAACCAACTGAGCCACCCAGGCACCCTAGGGTCTATCTTATTCACTAAGCCTTGAGTTCAGTGAAGGCAGCACCTTGGCTCTTTTTCTTGCAATTATTCGCCCAATGCTGAGAACAAGATCTAGCCTTTAGGAGACGTGCATAAATACCTATTAAAAGAATGAATGAATGAATCCAGGTACCCAGCACATAGCAGGTGCCCAGGAAATGTCAGTGGATATTTAAAATTATCAACCCTCTTATGGCCATGAGAGGCATGAGAGGTGAAGATGGACATAGTTAGAAATGAAGCTGGGGGGATGCCTGGGTGGCTTAATGATTGAGCATCTGTCTTCGGCTCAGGACGTGATCTCCAGGGTCCAGGATCAAGTCCTGCATTGGGCTCCCTGCAAGGAGCCTGCTTATCCCTCTATGTCTCTGCCTCTCTATCTCTGTGTCTCTCATGAATAAATAAATAAATAAAATCTTAAAAATAATGAAGCTGGGGAGGGAGGTGGTGTCAGGTGTGGATGGTCTATGGAAGCCCTTTTATGGAGTTTGGGCTCGGGCAATGGGGAGCCATCAAAGGGCTTTAAACAGAGGAGGGAGGTCATCAGAGGGGTTGAGGAAGGATTACTTGGGCTAAGTGAACTGGTTTAAAGACCCAAGGGAGGGAGGCCTGGAGGGGGGGCTGAGCCAGGGGATGGGGGAAGGTGGCCGTGAGTGTGGCTACTGTGGGATGGAGGGAAATGCCAGGGCACTCCAGAAAAGGAGAGCCAAGGGTGACCTGAGCAAATGGGTACATCCCTGAGGCAGGAACTTGGGAGGAGGGGAAGGTGGCATGAGGGAGAAGACTTCTGGGTTTTGATGTTTCATTGTCAAGGTTCAGCTCTGGAAGTCATTTTTACTCTGCTATCTCTTTCTCTCCCCCTTGGAGGACCCCATTTTTTGGAATCAGCCAGAGATTGGGGTCATTTCCTCTTGGTTCTCCCATAGCTTTGGAGTCCTTCCCAAACTGACCTGACCAGGTAACCCTCCTGCTGTGGAGCATCTCACAGGGCCAGTGTTCCATGGAGCACACTTTGGGAAAGGTGGCAAAGGCAGCTATTAGATGTGTCAGCAAGTAGGACAAAGGACCCTGTCTACCCATAGAGCCTCTGGATTGTCCTGGTTAAGTCACTGTCCCTCTTTGGGGACCTGATTGTGAAGGATGCTATTAGCTTAGACACTTCACATAGGCAGGGTAGAGTCATGGTTGGGGGAATGAATTCTGGAATCCAAAACTCGTGTTCAGAGCACGGTCTTGTCATAGATTCCCTGTGTGCCTCAGGAAAGCCCTTTCTTCTCTCAGCCACCTCATAGTTGCAGGGATATCAAGATTATGCATATAACATGCTTAGAGCAGTACCTGCTACACAAGGACCCTGAATTCTAGAGCCAAGTTTGGGTCATTCTCAAGCTGGAATTCTAGACCACGCTCAGCTACCTTGCCCACCCCTCTGGGGTCCCCCTCTAACTTTATTCCTCCACCCTGGAACATCTGGAGAGTGGCAGCAGGTGATAGGGACCCTGGAAGGGTAGTGGTGGGCAAGCCTGGCTCAGACCCTCCCACCAAAGGGAGGGAGGCCTAAGTATAGTTGCCCCTTTACTGATGCGTCTTCCCTTGGTCTTTTCAGACATAATGGCGTGGCCGTGGCTATCCTGCCTCCTGCTTCTTACCCTCGTGGTATCTGGTGGGTGCCTCCCCTCCCCTACCAGAGTAGTACTAATGTGGAGATCCTTGGCAGGCCCTCCAGAAGAGAGGGGCACTGCTTCATTAGCAAACCCCCAGTTCCCATGACCCAGCTCCATGCTTGGCTGCCCTGGGGAGGTCTAGGGAGGACCCCAGGCGGGTGAGCTAGGCTGAAGGTTGGGACTGGTGTGGGCTCCCATTAGGGTAGGTGGGGAGTAAGCTTTGTAGGGGCATCTAGGTGTTCCAGTGGTCTATGTTCCTACAGTGGAAGCCAATGTGGCCCCGACATTCTCTGGAAACATGACAAGAGTGAATTTGCCTGAGGACCTACCAGTGGGTGAGTAACCATCCCTGTGCACAGACTGTGCCAAGCCCCTACCCAAAGAGGGCCCCAGGGACTCCCTTATGGGCTGGCTTCCCATCCTTGCATTTCCATGGCTCATCATGGGGCAAAGGTGGCCTGAAGGGAATTTTTTCTAGAAGTTTGTTTTCTCCTCTTCAGTTTTTGTGTCAAGGCCCTCACACAGTGTCAAGTAACCAAGATACCCCATGAGAACATTCCTTCTGTTACCCATCCCATCTCTTGCTGTTGTTTCTGATACCCAGAGGAGAGAGGATCCACCTGAGACCATTCTTTCTCTTCCACCTCTCACCTTCCACCTTCCACCTCTTGCTAAATTTCCTCCACCCCCAGCTTTTCTCCCTTCTAAACAGGGAGTAGGTTTCTGGCTCAAAGACTTTTACACACTTCTTGCCAGAAGTTAATAACAGTGCTTCACTTTATTTATTTATTTATTTATTTATTTATTTATTTATTTATTTATTTTAAATTTATTTTAAAGATTTTATTTATTTATTCATGAGAGACATACAGAAAAAGAGAGGCAGAGACACAGGCAGAGGGAGAAGCAGGCTCCATGCAGGGAGCCCAACGTGGGACTCGATCCTGGGTCTCCAGGATCACACCCTGGGCTGCAGGCAGCACTAAACTGCTAAGCCACCAGGGCTGCCCCTCAGTGCTTTACTTTAATTGCCTTTGTTTATAGAGCTACTTTCTATCTATGGCAAGTGAAATGGATTTCTATTTACAGCCACAATCTAAAGCTTGCTTCTATTTTTTTTTAATTTTTTTTTTTTATGATAGTCACACACACAGAGAGAGAGAGAGGCAGAGACACAGGCAGAGGGAGAAGCAGGCTCCATGCACCGGGAGCCCGACGTGGAACTCGATCCCGGGTCTCCAGGATTGCGCCCTGGGCCAAAGGCAGGCACCAAACCGCTGCGCCACCCAGGGATCCCTATTTTATTTTATTTTTAAAGAAAGATTTATTTATTTATTTATTTATTTATTTATTTATTTGAGAGAGAGAGAGAGAAGGAGAGAGGGGGGGAGAATGCAAGTGGGGAGAGGGAGAGAAAGAACCTCAAGCAGACTCTACACCAAATGCAGAGCCCAAAGTGGTGTTTGATCCACTAACCTGAGATCATGACCTGAGCTGAAACCAAGAGTCAGATGTTTAAGTGACTGAACCACCCAGGTACTCCTAAAACTTGCTTTTAAAATAAATGGATTTACATGAAACGATAAGTCAATTAAAAGAAGGATCATAAATAATGAGACACTGGATATGGTAAAGATTGTGGTAGTGTACAAAAGGGAATGAGATTTGGAAACATCGTTTTGTTGGAAGCCACAGGGACTGAATTCCTAATTCTTAGCAGGCAGGATATGGGTTGGGGAATCAGAAACAAAAGATGACTCTAAAGAAAAAAAAAAAGACTCTATTCATTGGGATACAGGCTTGGCTGAGCATTACAGACCCCAAATAACAAAGGTATAAACAAGGCCAAGGCTGATCATTCTCTCATATAGCCATCTGTATCAACAAGTCCAGGGCTCTCTGGGGCTCTGTTCCATTAGACTGTTCCCTGCTCTACACTTTTGGTGTCTGGCATTCTCCTTCCATCTACAGGCTCTGCCCTTCCCTAGGCTGTGGCCCTCATCCACGTGGTCCGAGAAGGCTCATGTCACACCCTATTCCAGCCAGCTAGAGGAGAAAGGGGCCCCTCAGGCTTGGCCCTTTCTCATAATGATAGGCTCCAGATTTTACACACTGCTCTTTTCGCTCACTTCTCATCGGCCAGAACTTAGCCACCTATCCACACCTAGCTGCAAGGAGACCTGGGAAATGAGGTCTTTATTTTGGTTGGCCATGTGCCCAGCTCAAAATCTGAAGTTCTCTGGCTCTGAGAGAAAGGAAGGGTGTGAATATTAGGGGACAATCCACAGTCTTTGTCGTAGCATCGGAATTAGGATCTCAGATAGCTAAAGCTACCAGAAGACACAAGAGACTGAATCAAAGACAGTGAAACCCAGAGTTGGCCCTGGGATTCAGAATCCCAGACTGGAGTATGTGAGGAAAGGATGGGGGATAGACTTTGTAGGCACAAAGACCACATACATTTGGGTGTGGTTGCCAGGACAGCAAAAATCTGTTTAGGGTTATATTAATAAAGATTTAATGCCCAGGATGAGGGAGGTGATGGTCTCATTACACTGAGATGAGCACCCTGGAAGACTGGGCTGAAGTCAAACTATTTGGTATCTATAAATGTTCTTTGTCCAAAAGAGAAGTAATGTATATATGTTAATGATATTTACATATATTTTCATAGCTGTTTGGTCATAGATAAAACACACACACAAAAGTCAAACGAACGTCACAAATTTTATAACTCAAAGGCCCTCAAGATCTCATTCTCCGGGGTAAGCCTTTGATATCTAAATAAAACAGCTTGAGTTCTCATACTAGTTTCAGAGGCTCCTCCTGTGGATGTTTTTTTCAAGGTTGAGGTTCACCCTTTGTTCTTTCCTCCCTCTCCCTGGCCAGTCGCTGGTGCCATCCAGCCAGCTCCAGGCTTTACTGAAGATCTGAGGAGAAGGGAGGAGATGGTAGCATGAGTCAGGAAGCCATACTCACTGTTGTCACTGGAGAGTGTCCACTCTGGGCCTGGTCAGGTCACCCAACCCCTGCATGTCTCCTCGCCTCCCCAGCCCTGGGGCTCTGACACATGCTGCCCTCTGCAACCCCCAGGAAACAGAAAACTGATTACTTCATTGTTTATTTTATTTATTATTTTTTAAAGATTTATTTACTTATTCATGACAGACACAGAAAGAGAGAGGCAGAGACATAGGCAGAGGGAGAAGCAGGCTCCATGCAGGGAGCCCCATGTGGGACTCGATCCAGAGACTCCAGAACCACACCCTGAGCCAAAGGCAGGTGCTCAACCATTGAGCCACCCAGGCATCCCCACTTCATTGTTTAGAACAGCCCCCCCCCCCCTCTGGTCCAGACCAAAGGATCTTTTATAACCACAGACTCCTCTCTGGGCTCTCTTTTGGTGGGGGGGTCCTTTCATAAACCAAAGGGTGATTTTCTTCTACCTGAGATAATTTCTACAGCTCTTTTACAATGGGAAAGCATTTTCAGTCAGATTTTTTAAAACTTTGTCATTTAGACTTTCTATTTTGAGGTATAATATATGTGCAGAAAAGTGCATTAACTCACAGATAACTATCACTGATCAGGAGTTAGGGTGCTGCAAACACCCCCAGGTCCCCTCTCTCGTCTCTTTGGTCACTCCCTGTCCTTTCTCCCTGACACAAGACCTCTTTTCCTGACACTAACACTGTACAATAGTTTTGCTATGTTAGGCAGGATATATATATATATATATATATATATATATATATATATATATATATAAAACCAGTCCCTGGTGCCATCCATCCATCCATTTATTTATTATTTATTTATTTATTTATTTATTTATTTATTTATTTATTTATTTATGGTGTTTTGGCTTTTAAAATTTTTATTTTAAGATTTTATGTATTTATTTGAGAGAAAGAGCATGAGGGGAGGGAGGGGCAGAGAGAGAGGGAGAAGCGACTCCCTGCTGAGCAGGGAGCCCCATGCTGGGCTCCATCCCAGGACCCTGAGATCATGACCTGGGCAGAAGGTGGGCGCTTAACTGACGGAGCCACCCAGGAGCCCTATAATTATGGTGTTTTATTTATTTTTATTTTTTTATTTTTAAAAATTTTTTATTTATTTATGATAGTCACAGAGAGAGAGAGAGAGGCAGAGACACAGGCAGAGGGAGAAGCAGGCTCCATGCACCGGGAGCCCGATGTGGGATTCGATCCCGGGTCTCCAGGATCGCGCCCTGGGCCAAAGGCAGGCGCCAAACCGCTGTGCCACCCAGGGATCCCAATTATGGTGTTTTAAATACCAGTTTTAGTTTAGTGACAAACATATAATTCTTCACATATAGGGACCTAATATATGTCTTTTATTTTTGTAGCTTTTATTGATTTGTTAAATTTAATTTCTTTTTCTAGGCCAACTTAAAAAAAAGACTTATTTATTTGTTTGTTTATTTAGAGAGAGCGAAAGTGTGTGAGCAGGTGGAGGGGTCGAGGGAGAGGGAGAGAGAGAATCTTAAGCAGACTCCATGCCCAGCACAGAGCCCAACCCAGGCTCAATCCTACAACCTCAGAACCATGTTAATGGCCACCAAGGCCAGAGCCCTGGGGATTGAGGGGGTCCCAGACTTCTTCACACAGAGAAGACAGGCTCCCTACCCCAGTGGAGCCAGACTGGTGCCAAAACACGGGGCCGTGGACCATAGGCATTCCGTGTCCCACCTCCAGGTTCCGAGGCCTTCTGGCTGGTGGCTCAGGACCAGGACCAGGACTCTCTGACCTATGGGATTAGTGGCCAATATGCCTATTTCTTCACTGTCACCCCGGCCACTGGTGAAGTGAAGCTGGCCAGCCCTCTAGACTATGAGGTAAAGGGTGGCAGCTTGGGAAGACCCTGTGAGGGGGGCAGGGGGATGGGGGCCCTGCCTGTGCTCCCACTCTGAACAGGGGCTCACTTTGGGCCTCTTCTCTCTGCCTGCCACCACAGACGCTCTACTTGTTCGCAGTCACCATCTCTGTAAGCGACAGCCACAACAACCCGGTGAGTTGGAAGGGGGAAGAAGGGGAGACTGGTCCTGGGATCAGGGAGCAAGGGACTAGAGCCACTCCTGAGTGTGTCCCCTATCTCAGGCAAGCAGAGAGAGCCCTAGTTAACAAAAACTGAATTTATTTATTTATTTTTAAGATTTTATTTATTTTTTTATTCATTTAAATTATTTATTTATGATAGTCATACAGAGAGAGAGAGAGAGGCAGAGACAAGGCAGAGACATAGGCAGAGGGAGAAGCAGGCTTCATGCACCGAGAGCCCGACGTGGGATTTGATCCTGGGTCTCCAGGATCGCGCCCTGGGCCAAAGGCAGGCGCCAAACCGCTGCGCCACCCAGGGATCCCAGATTTTATTTATTTATTCATGAAAGGCACAGAGAGAGTCAGAGACACAGGCAGAGGGAGAAGCAGGCTCCCTGCAGGGAGCCCGATGCGAGACTCGATCCCAGGACCCTGGGATCACCACCTGAGCCAAAGGCAGATGCTCAACCACTGAGCCACCCAGGCATGCCACAAAAATTGAATTTTAATATCTATTTTCATCCAAATTATTCTTGTCCTTTTTGGGTCACACAATAATATTAATTTACTTTAATTATGCAAATATATCATTAATATTACAAATATAACATTACTTATATTAATTTATGTTAATACAAATGTTAATAAAAAACAAGTGCTAAATACTTCCCTACCCTGAGCTATTGCTTTCAACTCCCTCTGCTGAACGTCAGTGCTCATTTTTGAAATAACAAGCTTATACTGCTGTGCCCTATGTCTCTGAAAGTTGAGGATTTTGTCTTTATAATAGCTTCTCCAAGCCCCATCCATTAAAAAAAATCATTTTAATGACTTGGATATTCATGAATGCATTCTCTTCATAAACATCTCAAAAGTTGCAGCTCAAGCTCAAGTCCCCTGGGTGACCCTTCCCAGCCCACTCCCAGCCAAAGCGTCCACAGTCACCCTTCTTCCACATCTCTCACTGTGTGTTTACATATTTATGCATCCATGGAAGAAAGATTGTAGTTTTGGTGCATTTCCTGAAACCCAAATGGGATCCCATCTTCCATATTATCTTGAACTTCCCTGTCCACTCAACAATCAGCTTTGGAGCTCTGCCTATGTTTCCTCCTGAGTCCCCTGTTTCTTGTACTATTTTCCATGTAGGAGCATATCATGATGCTCTTGCTGGTCTCCTCTGACAGACACTCAGGTTGTCCGCATGCTAAAAACTATGGCAGACAAAGCTAAAATGAACATTCCTATAGCAGGACAGACATATCTTCAATTTTAAAAAAATGACCTAATTATGTCTGCAACTTGCTCTGAAATGGTTCTGTAAACATGTGGAGAGAAAGAGAGAGAGATCAAACAATGACTAAATCTGGATGAAGGGTATTGGGAGTTTTTGTATTATACTTGCAACTTTTCTGGTGTTTGAAATTGTATAAAAAATGAGATTACCCTGAATATTGCCTAATTGCCCGAGAAGCAAAGCCAACTGCAAGTTGTCCCACCAGGAGTTGGAACACCAGGAGTTGTCCCACTCAGACACTCTTCCCTTTTGTCTTCTCAAGCTCTCACATTTTCCAGGCTCACCTGGGCTTTCTTACCTGCAGGTACGGAAGGAAATGCAGGTGATCGTGGAGGACAGAAATGACAATGCTCCCATTTTCCAGAATAGTGGTTTCTCCACCAGCATCAGTGAGGTAACATCTGCTCTAATGGTGTGTGTGTGTATGATACAGGCATCCCAGAAGTTCTTGTCAGTGTGCAAAGGACCAGAGATGGTCAGCAGGGGGTCTAGGATCAAGGAGAAGCACCCCTTAGAAGGGCCCACTGCAGGAACCAAATTGGGGGGAATGTAACCACATGAACAAGAGTTATAGCAACATATTGCAATCAGTCAAACTGGATTAGAATGATTCCAGTTATAAAAGCAAATTTTTTTTAAGAAAAGGAATTTATTTTCTCATGTATCTGAAAAATTTAGAGGTATACTAACTTCAGACAAGTTGGATACATGCATTTAAACCATGTCATCAAAAAAACAAAACAAAACAAAACAAAAAAACCATGCCATCAAGGGACGCCTGGGTGGCTTGGTGGTTGAGTGTCTGCCTTTGGCTTCCGGCATGATCCTGGGACCTGGGATCAAGTCTCGCATCAGGCTCCCTGTGAGGAGCCTGCTTTTCCCTCTGCCTATGTCTCTGCCTCTCTCTCTCTGTGTCTCTCATGAATAAATACATAAATCTTAAAAAACAAAAACAAGAAACAACTGTGTCATCAAGAAGAGATTTCTTAGAGAGAGAGAGAGAGAGAGAGAGGGAGAGAGAGATTTCTCTCCACCTCTCAGCTCTCCTTATCTTGTTGCCCCTATCCTTAGGTAAGGGGCCATTCTCTATTGTGGTGATAAAAGTGTCCCGTGCAGCTCCAGGCTTTGCAACTTGAACGCAGACTGTCTCTTTCTCTGTGGTTCTGGCCCAAACCCCAGAGTTGACTCTCATTGGCCCATTTTGGGTCATATACCTATCAACCTAGGGATACGGAATACTTTGATTGGGTAGGTCTACATCTGATCCTTCCCCTTTAGCAAGGGAGGGCAGCTCCACTTGAACGGACTGCCTAGGGAGGAGGTTCCCTAATGGTCCCTGAGCAGCAAACACAACATCACTCCTTGATCTTCATTACCATGCGGCTTTGAAAATGTATTTGGTGTGGGGCCCCAAATACACTAAATACACACTAGGCCAGACATAAGACTGATGAGGTCCAGTCAGCCATCTGACAGACTCTGATGGAGCTCATACTGTGTACCAGCCACTGGCCTTGGTGCTGAGACTATCTGGTAAATAAGACAGATCTGGTCACATTCTAATGAAGAATATAGATAATAATCAATGAAACATTCAATAAGCAGGATTATTTCAGCTGCTATTAAGCTCTATGAAGAGTGTAAAACAGGGCAAAGTGAAAGAAAGTGACTGGGAAGGGGGCTGGTTTAGGTTGAGCAACCAGGAAAGGCCTTTCTGAGTAGGTGACATTTGAACAGAGACCTACATGGCAAGAAGGAACCAACCGTGGGATGCTCCAGGAGAAGGATGTTCCAGGTAGGGGAACAGCAGATTCAATGGCTCCGAGCTGGGAATGAATTTGGAGTGTTCTAGGCATATAGCCAGGAAGGTGCTGTGAATGGAGGGTGGAAGGTGAGGAGGAGGTGAGGTCAGAGAGGTGGACAGTGGCCTGACGTCAGAGGGCCATAGAGGGAGTGAAGATTGTATTCTGGACAAAATAGGGGAACCATTGGAGGGCTTTTAGCACAAGAGTGATGTGGTCTGATTTATGATTTTCAAAGATCACTTTGGCCACTTTGTGGAAATAATGAAGGTGTGCACAGGTCACAGACAGGGCAAAGGCCTCCCCAAAGAACCTTCCAGCTCTGCAGGGTGCTGTCTGGGATGTACTGCTGTAGGCTACAGAGAGCCCACAGGATGTTTGAGCAGGGGAGTGGCACATCCTGGATTCTGGAATAATTGTGCTTCTTTCTCCTGAGGTGCTCTGCAAATCATAAGCCAGCCGAAGTGGTAGGGAGAGGAAAGGGGGGTAATCTGCTCCCTGCCCTCCCTCCCCCCAGTGGTCTCCAGAGGCCCAGCCCAAGTGGGAAGGAAAAGGGAGCATTGAGTGTCAGGCTCTAGGTGTTATCCCTGCAGTATAATCGGGGACATAAGCTCAGGGAGGGGAAATGAGTGCTCAGTCGTGGAAGGGATGGATTGGAGTTCCTCATTACAGACGCTGCCAGTTGGCTCCCTGGTGTTCTCTGTGCTGGCCAAGGACAAAGACACGGGGTCTGCAGGAGCCGTGGTGTACTCCATAGAGGAGGTGAGCACAGGCAAGTCCTGCGGGAATACGGGCCCCACTGCTCCTCATAGCCACCAGGGGGCAGCATCTCCCACACAGCCTGCAGGAACCTTGAGTGTTGGGGTGAGCCCTGGCTCCCAAACCTTTTGCTGGCCTCCTCTGGACCTCATTTGATAAAGCCACCTAAGGAGGGTGACTGCCATGGACAGAACCCTTCTTCCCACCTTCTTGCCTTGGGGCACCGACTGGGCTTTTGCTGAGTTCATGTGGCTTCATGGGGCGGCTGGTACACAGAATAGGAAATCGAGAGGTACAGTGTCTTGTCCAAGGTCACGCACAGAACAGAGTATGTGACCCAGTTATTCCGAAGGCATGTTAGCTAGCTATAGCTCCCGTCTACTGAGTGCCCACGATGTGCCTAGCATATACCTTACCTCATTGGACCCTCCTCTCAACCCACTGCTGAGATATCTGAGCTCATTTCGCAGAGGTGGAAACTGAGGCTCAGAAAGGTTAGGTGACCTGGTAAGGGTGGCAGGGCTGGTTAAGAGCAGAGCTAGGACTTGAGCCCTGGTCTCTCAGAGGGGAGCCTGCCCTGACTGCTCTGCCTCAGGTCATCCCGAGCAATGGGGAGAGCCAGCACCTCTTCAGGATCTTCCCCAATGGCTCCATCGTCCTCAATGGCAGCCTCAGCTACAACAACAAGAGTGCCTTCTATCAGCTGGAGCTGAGGGCCTGTGTGAGTAAGGGTGCAGACAGAGGGGGGCCAGGACCATGAGGCTCAGCCTTACGGAGACCTATCTCCCACAGGACTCAGGCGGCATATACAACAACACCTTCAACATCCAGTGCTCCTCGCCTGTCTTCCTGTCCATCTCTGTAGTCGACCAGCCAGACCTGGACCCTCAGTTTATCAGGGAGTTTTACTCAGCCACTGTGGCCGAGGATACACCCCAGGTGTGCTAGAGGACCTGGACGGGTCTGGGTGGACACAAGAGGCAGGGAAAGGGTCCGGCACATTGAACCACGTGGTTCTCTGCACAGGGAACGTCAGTGCTGAAGGTAGAGGCTGTGGATAGTGACAAAGGCATCAATGACCCAGTGATCTACAGCATTTCCAGTGAGAATTGGGGTGTTCCCAGGTGGAGGAAGGGGTGGGGGCTCTGCTGCAGCCACTGGAAGCAGTAGCTCCTACTGCCTCTCATCAGACTCCACAAGACCCGGCTGGTTTGCCATCAGGCCAGATGGGGTGATCATGGTCAATGGTTCCTTGGACCGTGAGCAGCTGCTGGAAGAGGATGAGGAGGTGAAGGTCCAGGTCATGGTGAGTGAGGGGTCCACTGCCCCTTTTGCACCCCTACCCTCAACTTCTGACCTTTAATCTCTGTTCTCTCTGATCCTTGGTTCTCTGACCTCTGGCCTCTGGTTTCTGCTCTGCCCTAAGGCCACTGAGACGAAACCCAACATCTATGGGCAGGAGGCCAAGGTGAGCATATGGGTCACACTGACAGTGACGGATGTCAATGACCACCAACCCGAGTTTTACAACTGCAGCCTTCTGGCCTGTACCTTCACACCCCAAGAGGCCCAAGTCAACTTCACTGGCTACGTGGATGAGCATGCCTCCACCCGCATCCCCATTGATAACCTCACCATGGTGGTCTACGACCCAGACAAGGTAGGTGCACCCAGACAAGGGGTGACTGGGCAAGAGTGATGGTGGGAGATGGCTAGGGAAGATGGTGAGGAGTGACCCATAGAACAAGGTACTATGGTGGGTAATTGGTGGTGCTGATCATAAACAGTGTTGGAAAATCAGAGTTGTTAGGTGATATTTGCAAATGTTGGGTGATGTTATACTGGTGTGTAGTTTTGTGCTCAGGGCAGTGCTAGGTGGTGGTGAACAGAAAGGCAGCACTGAGTGAATGTTAATAGTGGATGCTAGGTAATGTTGAGTGGAGTATATAGTTTTCAGTGGTGTTGAGGAGATGGTGGTGATGGGTACTTGGTGAAGTTGCAGGATGTTGGGGTATTGGATATTGGGGAATGTGGCAGTATTGAGCACAGAAGTGGCTTGAGTGAGTGCAAAATTGGAGAGTATTCTTAAGTGGAAATGGATATTGAGACGTGGGTGAGCTGTGTGGCATTGAATAATGAATACCTGTGGATGGTGTTTGGTAGTATTTGGTGATATTGGGTTGGTACCAAATGTGGAGTGGAGGATGGTATTGGGTGGTGGTAGGTGGGTGGGTATATTGAGTTGGTGATTGGCATTGAGTGAAGCAGAAGGGGTGTGGAATGGAGGGTGGTGTGAGTAATGGGGTGATGTTGGGTGTTGCTGGTATTTGGTGTTGGTATGGTGGTGGACTGTGTTGAGTGGGAGTTGGTAAGGGAGACTCAGTAATGTCTTATGGGAGTGAGGGGAGTGTGTCCAGGCTCTGTCTTTCCAACCCAACCCAAGAGCCTAGGCACATGGGGATATCTTTTTCTGATGAGCCCACATTTGCAAGGGACAGTGAGCAGCCTAGTTTCCCCAGGGCCCTCTTGTCACAGTGTTATGAGAGCCCGTCTCTCAAGGGACTTCAGAGGGCCGGGCCTCTGATGCAGGAGCCTACAATCAGGGATTGGGGCAAGACGCAGGTTGGTATGTTGGAGGGGTTGGGGTCACTGCTATACCATATACCCATCTCCACAGGGCAACAATGGCACCTTCCTGCTGTCCTTGGGGGGCCCCGATGCTGAAGCCTTCAGCATCTCCCCTGAGCGGGCGGCAGGCTCATCGGACGTGCAGGTGCTGGTGAGAGCTCCTGCACTGGTGGACTACGAGACAAAAACAGTGATGCTGGTGCAGGTGAGGGGTGCGTGCTCTGGGACGCCAGGGAGCACAGTCCATGGGCACTCTGACCCCAATGCTGCTGCTTCTTCCTCCATCCTCAGGTCATGGCGACTGACTCAGTCAGTGGGAACTTCTCTGTCGCCCTGGTGACCATCCACCTCAGAGACATTAACGACCATAGGCCCACATTCCCCCACAGTTTGTACAACATCAAAGTTTGGGAGCACAGTGCAGACGGCACAGTGGTCACCAACAGCATCCACGTGAGTGACAGGAACCCTCTGGGACTGGGTGAGGAGGGACACGGAAGAGGACCCTGCCCAAGTTTCTGTATCATCTGATGTTGTCAGGTCTGAGCCAGTGTGCACGCATGTGTGGGCGTGTGTGACAGGGGACAGCCCTGTCTCCTTAACTGCATGGCTGGCAGTGAGGGACATTTCCAAATCATGTCCCATTGTCTCTCTCTCTGCCTCACAGGCCTTTGACCCTGACACGGGTGAGGGTGGCCGCATCACCTACAGCCTGCTTCCAGGGAACGGGTAAGGTCTCAGGGTGGGCAGAGGGCAGGCGGATGAGTGGGGCCTGGGCCCACCTCTCTGCCTTGCAGTGAAACCAGAGCAGGCAAATGTAGGACACTCGTGACATTCCAATTTCAGATAAACAACGAATCCTTTATTTGGTATAAGCAGATGGCAAATATCGCATGGGACATCCTAAAATATTTTTTATTGTTTATCTGAAATTCTAATATAAGTGGGCATCCTGTATTGTTGCTTGCTCACTCTGGCCACCCTGCACAGGGCAGAGATCTTTAAGGTGGATCCAGACTCAGGAATGGTGACAGTGAGGAACAGCGTGCTGCTGGATCGAGAGAAGCAGGCCGAGTACTACCTCACACTGCAGGCCACAGATGGCGGGAACTTGTCGGCCTCCACCACGCTGCACATCATCCTGCTGGACATCAATGACAACTGGCCTGTGGTCAGCGGCTCCTACAACATCTTTGTCCAGGAGGAGGATGGCAATGTCCTCATATCCCTCCAGGTGCGAGCCAACCTGAACTTGGGGGGTGGGACAGGGGCAGGGGACCAAGTCTGGCTGTGTAGTTGTGCTGGCCCTGGATTGGAGTCTGGGTTCTCCTCTGTGGTCCTGAGGAAACCAATCCGTCTCTTAGGACGTCTGTCTCCGCTTTGGAAAATGAGGACAATTGTGGTACTTAGTCCCAGGATCACTGGGGAATAATGAGGTAATGCATATAAAGTGCTCAGCACCAAGCCTAGCACAGAGCAAGCCCTCAAAAACATATTGCTCTTTTGAAATCCAGCCCCTGTCTCATTCCAAACAGGATCTGAGTGACTGACTAAAAAGGTAAAAAATGGGAGAAATAAGGAGAAAGAGAAAACAAGAATGGTATTGCCAATAGGCAAAGTTAGAACCCAGAACGACACAATTGCTAGGAGGGGGGCTAAAAATTCAGTTCTGAGCTTCCTGATGACCAGTGCAAAAAAGGAAATATCAGTGGCCAGGCTGACAGAGTCCATGAGATAAAAATCCACGGTTGGTTCCAGAGAAGCACCAAAGACAAGCATCTCCCGGAGTCATCTGAAAGGGAGCCTCAGAGGAAGTGGGAAAGAAACCAAGTCCTCAGAATGACAATCATGTGGCTACTGAGCACTCTTATATTCCTGGGGCTATGAGGTTTCCAGAGCACATTCCCATCCCTAGTATCTTGACCTACTTGTGAAATAGTTGCTCCAATCGTCCCCGTTTCACAGAAGGAGAAAACTGAGGCTCAGGAAAGTTAAGTGACTTCTTTGGGCTTGCATAGCCAATAAGCAGTGCCCCGAAGCCAGAGCTTGGACCTCTCTACCCTGAAGCCTCGGCCTTTTCTTCTTGCTCCTTGATACTTCCTCCCTTGTCTGTGGGTTCCTTGGGGCAGGAGCATTTTAGATCTGCTGTTGTAACCATGGCGCCCGGCATGAGCCCTGAGAAGCGCTTGGTGAATTAACTGGCCTGAATTCAGAGTGCTGAGAGGTGAACAGATGGGGTCAGGCTTCTGGAAAAGCCATCTCTGGCTGCCTGTACAGGAGGCATTTAATAAACAAGATTCCAATGGAACTGAGATGAAAGAACTGAAGGTGAGGGATGGGCAAGGAGGAAGGGGAAAAGCTAGATTCCAAGCCAGGGTAGCCCAGCTCTGGATTCAAAGCCACATGTCCTGAACACCTGTTGTGCACTAGGTCCTTTCCTGGGCCCCAGTCCTCTCAGATGACTCCACCGTCATTGCTGTGGAAATGAAAGTCCATGTGTGACTTTCAGGGGAAGGATGCCAGAGAGTCACCCAAGGGTGTCACTTGTGCTGTGTTCAAGATAGCACAGGGGATGTGGAGGCCCCGGGTGTATCACTAGTCTGGCCTGGAGTCAGGCAGAGAGGTGTAGAGGGCTTTCAGGGTGAGGGGAAGGCATACGCAAAGGCCTGGTAGCATGACCAAAGCGGTTGTGTTCTTCATGCTGGATCGACCCCAAAGGCAGGCCACGTACACATACAGGACCCTGGCAGGACAGGAACACACACACATGCACGCACACACACATTCACGAATTGGGTGAAGAATGTGCTGTTTAAAAAAAAAAAATCAGCACTGAAGCAGTTACTGTGGGAAGATCAGAATCTTGTTGGACTTCACGCTTATGTTATACTTGTTTGTTTCTGAATTTTGGATATCTGTAATCCACTGCCCCATGCCTCCTCTCCACTAGAATCTCAGCTCCCTAAGGGCATGTCTTGGTCATGGCTCTGTGTCAGCGCCTACACCAGGGTGGGCACATGGTTGATATGCAGTCAGTATTTGTAGGGTCGATGGCTGACCTCAGTGCTTAAGACCTCAGAAGCTCTTGCAAGCTGTCGATCTGACCCTCCTTGAGGGGGACTGAGGCTGAGAGACTGGTCCAGCGTCCCACTGGCTTTTGGCCCAGTCACTGCCCTTGAGGTCCAGTGCTGGAGGGGGAGGCCCGGCTTCAGGGGAGGCGCAGGGGAGCCAGGGAGCACCTGACAGCTGATGCCGCGATGCTGGTTATCCACGCAGGCTCAGGACAACGATCAGCCCAACACCAACAACAGCCGTCTGCATTTCAGCCTGCTTCCTGGTCCCTACAGCCACAACTTCTCAGTGGGCCCTGATACAGGCATCCTAAGAAACCTGGGGCCCCTGGACCGAGAGGCCATCGAACCTGCCCTGGGGGGCCGAATTGTGCTGACAGTACTTGTGGCTGACTGTGGCATGCCTGTCCTCAGCACTGAAGTCAATGTCACCATCAATGTGGAGGTAAGACCTGGCTCAGCCGCGGGCCAGGTGCCATGAGGGGCCCCATGCTGGGGAGCTCCCAGCAGACAGCCAGCACCCTACCCCTCCCAAGTCACATTTCTATCCTTGTCACATTGAGTCACATTTCCACCCTTGGCGGTATGGTGGGCAAGAGAGTTCTAGAATCAGGCTGCTTGGGTTAGGATTCTGGCTCAGTTGTGCGGCCTTGGGTAGTCACTCAACCTCCCTGTGCCCTCAAATTCCTAATCTGTAAAATGGTGACAAAAATACCAGAAAGTGAGCTAACAAATGGAAAGTGCTTTGCCTAGTGCCTGACCTGAGGAAGGTACTCAGTGTGTCCAGTCTGCCTGCAGTGTCCCCTTGCATTTTTTTCCTTTTTTTTTTCCTTTTTTTTTTCTTTCCTCAGTTTGGGAAACCTGCAGCCAATAGCATTTTTGGAGCAGATGATCTTCCTTCTGACACATCAGATCGTCAGAAGGTTGGGAGCAGCCTAGCTACATCTAATGACCATGTCACCTACTTCACTTTGTCTCATCACATAGACATTTTATCATCTCACATCATCACAAGAAGTAGGATGAGTACAGGACAATTGCATATTTTCAGAGAGAGGGAAAGACTGCATTCACATCGACTGTGATCACAGTATATGGTTACAATTGTTCTATTTTATTGTTATTGTTCATCTTTTTCTGTGCCTAATTTAATTTTTTTAGGATTTTATTTATTTTTTCACAAGAGACACAGAAAGAGAGAGGCAGAGACACAGGCAGAGGGAGAAGCAGGCTCCCTGCAGGGAGCCCAACATGGGACTCGATCCCGGGACTCCAGGATCACACCCTGGGCTGAAGGTGGTGCTAAACTGCTGAGCCACCGGGGCTGCCCTGTGCCTAATTTATAAAGTAAACTTTATCATGAGTAGGTATGTATAGGAAAAAAACATAGTATACACAGGGTTCAGTACCATCTGTGATTTCAAACCTCTGTGGGGGGTCTTGGAACGTTTCTCCCACCAGTAAGGGCAGGAACGACTCACTGTATTGGCTCTAAATATCATTCATGAAGTTCTGTCTGAAATGCTCCTATTCCTCACTACCATTCAAGGGTAAAGAGAAGGGGTGAAAAGGGCGGAGGCGCAGAGGGTGAGCAGCTTGTCTAGGGCTGCAGAATGGGGTTTTGAACCCAGTGTGTCTGCTTCTTCGGTGGTCACCAGCCCACAGGGCACCACCCTCTAAAAAAGTGTTGTAACAAAAGTACACCTCTACAATGTCCATGATGTGGACGGCGCCCCCTAGGCCTGTGCAGTGCACAGCCTTCGTCATCCCACACAGCAGCCCTGTGTCCCCCTGGGTTGGGATGTGCAGCTTTCTTACAAGGATCAGAGTGAGACCTCAGGGAAAATGGAGAAACAGAAGCAGAATTAGAACTTGTCAGCTTGTTCAGCTGTCCTCGGGGGTGAAGTAGGCCAGGAAGAAGGAAGAAAGCAAAATTGCATTTACTGAGCTAGTGGGTCCTTTTATGCCAACAAACTAGTTCCTACAATGGTCCCTAGAGGGGTGACTATATGAGCCCTCTTGCAGGTGAAGACATTGAGGCTCAGAGAAGTCAAGTCACATGTGAGGCAGAAGGCAGAGCTGTGCTCTTAGCCACCCCAGTGACTTAGGGAGCAGCTGGCCACATGCATTGAGACAGAAATGCTGTGCTGGGAAATCACCATCGGAAAATACATCTAGTTAAGGGGGAGATGGCTTTGTTCTTGAAGATGTCTGTTGAACCATTATTTAGAAAAGTGGAAGCCAAAAGCAGACATCTGTGGGCTGCCCTGGGAAGGTCTGGAAAAGCCAAGGGCACCCCCAGCAAACACCACTGATTGGGGAGGAAGCAGCAGGTAGAGGTGGTTCTGTGCTGTGACAACAGTGGCAGCCTCTGTAGGTGTGGGTGGCCAGGGCTAGAGAGGGAAGGCAAGAACAGAAAACAGTGAGCATCTGAGGGCAGGACCAGGCCTAAGCCCTGGCAGTTGCCTGGAGCTCAGCATCGTCTGAGCATAGAGCAAATGTCCTGGGGTCAGCTGAACTCAGAAGGGATAGGAGAAAAGAGGGGACAAGGGAAAACTTGGGCCACAGGGCCTTGTAGAAACAATGGTATTGGTGCCAATAGGATAAATCCAAGAGATGAGGAGTCAAGCTAGGCCAGACAGGGACATTGATAGGGACTCAGCCACCCTTCTGGAAAGCAGAGTCTGAGATGGCTCTGAGTTGTAGTCAGAGAAGCAGGGAGGAGGTGGGGCTCCCTGAAAGTGTATCACTAACTTCAGAGGTCCCGCTGCAGGCCTGTGAGTCTCAGGTGTGTGCCCTGGGCTAGTTCCAGCCTTGCCAAGGCCCTTGTCTCGTCTGTGAAGTGAGGAGCTGCTGGCAGAGAGTCTATGCCTTGAGTCAGAGGAAACACTAGCTCTCAGATTGGCTCTAGGGAGGCTGAACCGTGGGGCTCCTGGTGTCCCTGGGCTCAGACCTTCCTCTGCCCACAGGACATCAATGATAACCTGCCCATCTTTAACCAGTCTATCTACTCCTTCTCGGTGAAGGAGAGGGACCCAGGTAAGTCCTTCCTGGGCCAGGCCGGGCACTGGGGCTGGGGCCCAGTGAGACATCTGAGTCCTCCCTGCGGCTCTTGGGGGTGGTAAGGGGAGAGGAAGCCTCCAGCGGCTGGGCCAGGGGTCCCTGTGAAGTCTGCCCTCGTCCACAGGAAAGCTGGTAGGCGTGGTGAAGGCCTGGGATGCGGATCAGACAGAAGCCAACAACCGTATCAGCTTCAGCCTGACAGGGAGTGGTGCCAACAACTTCCTGCTCCGGGGCTTGGTGCTAGAGTCTGGGGGCGCTGGGGGCTACCTTTGGCTGCCTGCAGATGTGAGCCTGGACTACGAGACACAGGCCTCCTTCAATCTGACACTGAGTGCCGAGAACCCAGACCCCCAGGGGAAAGAGGCCAGGGCACAAGTCCTTGTGGCTGTGGAGGACGTGAATGACGAACCACCCACTCTGGACTCAGCCTCGCTCCAGGGCATCCGTGTAGCCGAGAATGGCTCACAGCACGGCCTGGTGGCTGAGCTGGTTCCCCAGGATGTGGATACCATGGCTCAGCTGGAGGTACAGCTTGTGAATACCATCTGTACCAAGGCCGGGGTCAACGTGGGCAGCCTGTGCTACGGCTGGTTCTCTGTGCTGGCCAATGGCTCTGTGGTCATCAATCAGAGTGAGGCCATTGACTATGAGACCTGTGACCTGGTCACGCTGGTTGTTCGGGCCAATGACCTCACAACAGACCCCCGCTTCCAGGCCTACAGTGACAACGGTGAGGTGGCCTGGCCTGTGGGATTGGGGGGGCTGCAGGATAGGGGCCGTGGGCTGGGGCCCCAGTCCTTACCAGCTGTGTCACTGGGAAAGTTGTGACATCTCCTTAAGCTTCTGTCCCCATTTGTCCGGTGGCGTTGGGCAGTAGGCTGGCAGCAAAGGCTAAACAAAAACACACGTGTAAAGTGTTTAGTGAAGTGCCTGGCACAGAGTCAGTGCTTCACTGATGCTACTGTCTTGTGAGGCAGGGTAAAGAGGAAAGTACACTTCACAGTGCTCACATCCTACCTCGGATTGTGATGGCTAGAATAACCACATTAACAGCGAGCCTATTTTGAGAATTTCCTATAGCCGAGAGCTATGCCAGACACCTTAAAAGCATTCTTTATGTCACTCCCACGCAATCGGTGGGGTAGATGATCCCTATCCAATATTATAAATGAGGAAACTGAGGCACACAGTGGCCAGCTCAATAACCTAGCTTACACGCTAGCAATGTCAGTATCATGCTGTGGTCAGGTGGGACACGCCCCGGCCAGGCTCTGCCTGGCCTGATGCTCTTACTGGATGCTCTTGGAATAGGTGCTTACCCTCTCTGAGGTATGGGGAGGATATTCCCTGCCACAAAGTCCAGTGGAAACTGAGCGGGCACCCCAGGCCAGGAGCAGGGCTGGGGACAGTGCATGGGAGATGTTGGGAGGGAGGCAGGGGGGAGCATGGCAAGTGCCCAGGCTTTTTGGTTGGGCCTAGAGGCCAGAACCAGCCAAACTTGTTCTTCTAGGAAGTCTCGCTATCACCATTGAGGACATGAATGACAATGCCCCCTATTTTCTGCCTGACAATAAGACTTTCGGTAAGTGGGCCAGGCTTTCCCTCCATACTCTGCCAGGATTTCCTTGGGCAGCTCCCATAGACCCTCCTCAGGCCCCAAGTGGACTATTAGAAAGGAAGGCCTCTTTTTCGCTTCTCGGCCTTTTGGCTAAGATGAAGTGTAGAAAGGAAGGCCTCTGATCTCGCCTCTCCCCCAGGGTTTCAACAGGAGAGACCTGATTTTTCACCACAGTTCGGCCCCAACTCTGAGCCAGCTCCTCCCTCTCTGGGCCTCAGTTTCCCCATCTGCACAGTAGGAGTGGCGGAGCTGCTAACTGATGGCTCAGAGACTGTTATAATGGGGGATTTTGATGGTAGAGAGGCTGCGGGAAGATATGGGGAGACTGCATCCTGAGCTGGGCTTGTGATCAGTACTCAGCCAGGTGGGCACTGGCACTAACCCCGCTGACCCCACTGATCCCATTGACCCCTTCTTGTCCACACTTGTAGTTATCATCCCAGAACTTGTGGTGCCCAACCAGCAGGTGGCTTCTGTCCAGGTAAGCCCATCATATTAGTCCCAGGAAACACAGGACCAGGGCTTTCAGGCCTTTCACTGTCCCCCCAAATGTTTTAACACTACAAAGGAAATTTATTGGCTCCAACCTATGAAAAGAAAGCCCCAGAATGGAGACAAACACTTGCCTAATTGATAGGATTAAATTTCATTAATTGTTACTTGGTTGTCATAAAAATTTCATGACTATAAAAACTATTTGCAGGCTAGATTTTTTTTTTTGCTACACCACAATTCCAAGTCATACAGACAAATCATAACAACTGTAAATTAAATGAGTTCCTTGCAGATAAATAATTTCCAGAGTAAAATTATAAAAATACTTATAGTGTTCTATGGCGTTGGACGTGGATGTGTTTGTTAGAGGGCCCTGGCCGCACCACAGGGGCGGGCAAGGCCTCCCACACAGCCCAGGTGCCCGGGCCTGGTGGGGCCTCTTACTGACCTGGGAAGCTGCCTGCCTTTCTGGGGCTCAGTTTGCCTCCAGGAAGAAGCTGTCAGTGAGCCAGGGGGCAGTGATATTGGAAGGTGAAGAGGTCGGGTGGCATGTGTATGCCCCTCCCTGTGCTGTGGGAAGAGCACAGGTAATGAAGATGGATGGACTGGCCTTCCTCCACTTCTAGCTAAGTCTTCAGCAGGATGGGGCCTCCCTCCAAGCCCCAGTTTCCTCTCATCACATGGGTAGAGTAATTCTCTCTCCAGGTTCTTTCAAGCCTTGAAGAGTCTTCCAATCTTCAGCCAATTACATTTTAATGTCATGAGTCTGGCCATAGCTTGGAGCCATTTTCTTTACATTGACTCATTCTTGAAACTTAAACAACAGCTTTGGCCTCATTCTGAACAGTAGACTCACGGGTCTGTATGTTGGCTATATTTTTCCCTAAAAGGCACTAGAATGTGTAAGAATGTTTGTGCCCTCTCCGCTAATCATTTCATGGTCCCCTACGGGAATTTGTACTCATTGTCAGTAAACACTGAAATGAGGGATTTAGGGGAAGGCCAGGCACATAGTAGGTGCTCAGGAAATTTGAATGTCCCTAAGTGTGTACATGTGTGTGCCTGTGTGGGTGTGTGGGTGTGTGTGTGGCAGTGGGTGGGGGGAAGCAAGGCAGGATTTCCACATCGGATGGACTTTGGACCGTGACCCATTGAGTTAGGGGCCCAAAGGCAGGGACTTGTTCAAATCTGGATTTGCAGAGCAAGCACGCCGTTTAAGGTGTTTGCTAAGTTGAGGTGGCCTAAAAGAGGCTGATAGAGATACTGGGACCAGACTCCTGGGCCATCTCAGCTGCTGATTCCTGCTGGGGAAGAAACGGGGCCTGGCCTGACCCCTAGGTATTGTCTATTCTTTCCCCCAGGCCAGAGACAATGACTCAGGGAACAACGGGGCCATTTTGTTCTCCATCCTCCAAGTGGATTTCATCGCTAAGGATGGGGCCATGATCCCTTTCCAGGGCTTCTTCCGGGTCTCTACCTCCTCGGAGGCCAACTTGTTCATTGGCAACATTGAGTAACTGTGGGGAGCCCCTGGATGGGGGGCAGTAAGGGGGCCTCAAGACAGTGAGTTCCTCACCCTGGGAGGTATATAAGTAGGTTCCAGAGGACTCCAGCTTGAGTTCCAAGACTCAGTTGTGCTCTTCTACCTTCAATAGGCTGGTGACCAACCTTGACTCCACTCTCCAAGGCACCTACCAAGTGACAGTCCAGGCCCAGGACAGACCTTCAGTGGGTCCTGCTCAGGAAGCCAAAATCACCCTGAATGTGAGTGTTGGGCCCTGCCTCTAGACCCCAATACTCTCTGCCAGCTCCTGCATCCTCTGTGCCTCATCTTCCCCATGTCTTCCTCCTGTAGCTCTTCACTGTGGACCAAAGTTACCGTGTGAGGTTGCAGTTTTCCATGAACAAGGAGGAGGTGGGCGCCAACATGGAGGAGATTACTGCGTAGGTTTGGGGCGCCCAGAGGGGGCTGTGGGGAAGAACAGGGCCTGGGAGTATGGTCCCTGATAAGACCTAGACGGGATGTATGTGAAAACTGTCCTTGACCTACATTTGATTTTGTCCCTGTCTTTGATCTGTACCTATACCTGCATTTCCTCTCTCAATTTCCTAGGAGCCTAGGGTTGGCTGGGCAGAGAGAGGCCTAAATAGGGCTGCAATGTATAGTTGTGAAGGCTGTGCACTGCACAAGGGCACTCTGCTTGCTAAGTCGTAAACCCAACCCCAGAGGAAGGGGCTGCCTTGTCTAATTTGCACAGAGGTGCTACCTGAATAGCCAATGAAGCTGTCCAGAGGAGGTGCCCCTTTTTAATTCACACAATTCCTAATTCCACCGGTAGAGTCCTGGCCATAGGCCTAGACTAAGGCCCCTACCCCATGCTTCTGTGACACCTTCCCCCTTTGCAGGGCTCTTGTTCAGGCCACCAGGACTACTGTCTACGTTGTGAGCATTCAGGACATAGAATCCACGGTTCGGTGAGTGTCCACAGGCCCAGTGGTTGGAGTGAGGACAAGAAGCAGAAACATGAGGGGCCTCCTGGGTGGTTCTGGACTGTTTACCCTTTACCCCTGCCCCATTCCAGAGCCCGGGGACGCTCTTACCTTGATGCCTATTTTGTCTTCTCAAATGGGTCAGCCCTGACACTTGATGAGCTGAGTGTGTGAGTGGGGCTCCCCTTGGGGCGGGCAGGAAGCTTAGGGAATGCCAATATCCCTCGGGTCTGAGTGAGGTTCTATGGCCAGGATGATCCGGAATGACCAGGATTCACTGATGCAGCTGCTGCAGTTGGGGCTGGTGGTGCTGGTGAGTGTCAGCATGGCGGAGCTAATGCAGGAGTGGGGGGTGGGGAATGCTCACACCCAACCTCCTTCATACTTCTTCTCCAGGGCTCCCAGGAGAGCCAGGAGTCGGACCTGCCAAAGCTGCTCACCAACGTTATCATAGGATTGGGAGTGGCTTTGCTGCTGATCATCGTGATTATGACCACGGCGCTCATGTGTACCCGGAAGAGGTACTGCTCCCATCACCCCCTGTGTCTCCAACTCTGCCTTTCCCACCATCTAAGACATCTGGCAAGTAGAGAAAGCTTGGGTTTAGGCACCTGGTATATCTGAATTTAATCTCCAGAGACCTGTGGTGACCACTTGAATAGGTCATCTCCCCTCCCTGAGCCTCAAGTTCCTTTGCAGAATGAATGCAACACTAGATTCCTCAAGGCACACAGGAAGCAGTGTGCATCCTGCCACCAGAAAGATATCTGGCACATACTGTGCATTTCATAAATACTGTCTTTTCCCCTTTCCAATATGTTTGGAGTCAGCAGCCACATCTGGATTTGACTCCAGGCCTTGCCACTGGCCAGCTGTGGCTTTTGGCAAACCATTTTCTTTCTCTGGCTATTGTACCCTCTGTACTAACACTCTCACCTGCCAGGGTGTTGTGAAGTCACACTCTCAGTGCCTGCACTGGGCGCACAGTGGGTGTCCAGGGAAAGTAGTGACTCCCCCACCCCCTGGTTCTCTGCAGCTACCACCGGAAGCTTCGGGCTACGAAGGCTGCCAAGGAGGCCCGGAGGACAGCACCAGGGGTGATGCCCTCAGTCTCTGCCATCCCTGGGACTAACATGTACACCACTGAGCGGTGAGCAGGGGTCAAAGGGTGGGTGAGAGTCTCCATGGAGTGTCTCAGGTTCATAAGTGCTTGAATTAGGCCTTCTCTCCAGGGCCAACCCTGTGCTGAACCTCCCCACGAAGGACCTGAGCTTCGAGTCCCAATCCTCTTCCAGTGACCTAGACCACATGAGGTGAGCAGTGATTCTCACAGCCATTCTGATCAGTGGTGGTGGTGATGGTGGAGGTGATGGTGGCAGAGGTGGAGATGGTCATCGTGGTGATGGTGGTGGAGGCAATGGTGGTTCAAGGCCATAGATAGGGAAGACTAGGGCTACTAACCATCGAGCTCCATCATCTCTCCCACAGTCTCAATTCCCTGGATGACAACTCTGTCGATGTGGAAAAGAACGAGGAGAAAATCAAGGCAAGATGGGGGATGAGTTGGTGCCTGGGGCTTCTTGACTTGGGGTCCTTCTCCAAAGGAGTGGGGTTCAGGACAGAGCTGAAGGACCTGCTGCTGACACTGGCATGTCTCCACACCAGGCCATGGGAAGCCTATGGCTTTGGAATGGGGTCTAATTATTGCTCTTCTACTCATTCACTGTGATTCCGGGTGGGTGACTTCCTTCTGGTTCTGAGTTTTCTCATCTGTAAATGGGGATCAGAATTCTAACCATGCAGAGCTTTTTGAGGATGAAGTTAGAGCAGTTATAAAACCACCTGGCATGAAGTAAGAGCTAAAAAATCTGGTTCCCTCTGTTTATACCCTTTGTATGAAAGCTGGTGGGGTGTGGGGAAGAAATCCGGAGGTAGACATACTCTAGTAAAGGAAAGAAATTAGGCTCAAAAAAACAGCAGTGCCATAATTTGCTCAGTAGGTTAGATGGTTTGAGTAGATCAACAGTTCACACAGCCACAGCCTCACATGCCCATGAAGCATCCCAGCCTGGAAATTCTGACCCAATGGGTAGGATGGGCCTGGGCTCGAGCATGTTGTTAAAACTCTTGGGGTTCTAATGCGAGGATAGAGAACCAGGGAGTAGATCAGCAGGGTGTGGGGGGTATGTGGGAATGGTGCACAGGGATCTGGCAGTGACATTGAGGCCTCCAAATAGGCCCCCAAAGGTTAGGGTCATGGATGGCAATCCAGGACACCAGGCAGTGCTGAAGGCCTTTGAGTGGATGGCTTATCTCTGGTTGAAGATGCTTTGGGGAAAAACTCCAATGAATGTCTGGCAGAGCTGAGGAAGAATGGTTAGAACTTGTGGCCAGGCAGGTAGTCCTCAGTGGAGGCCAAGGCTGACTCTTGGGGAGTGGAGTTGGGGGCCTCAGGTGGGGCTGGACTTGTAAGTTGGGAGGGGCAGAGAGCCTGAGAGAAGAGTCTGGAGAGGAAGAGAGGCTGGGCCATTGAGAGCCTTCAAAAGCCAGAAAAGAGCCTGTCCTAGGATGATAGAGGGGTTGCTATATTTCAGAGAACCTGCCCAAGGCTCCGCTGCCTCTCCTCTAACAGTAGGTGGGCCTTGGGGTCTCTGGGTGAGGAACACAGGTGGAGCCTTTTTTCAAGGATCTCTTGGTGCCCTGACTCACCCAAGACCTCCATAAATGTGTGGAAGGTCTGAGAGAACTGACAGGTGATCTAATCCAATCTTCACAAGCAACGAAGGCCAGAAGGCTCTGGGTTCTGACCTGCCTGAGGTCAGAATGCTTACAAGGCAAGGGCAGATCAGAACTCAGGTCTCCTGTCTCCAAGGGCAGGTTGAATTTTCCTAGGCTATGCTGCACCAACAGCTACCACTGGGGAGCCTATGGTGAGGCCCCTGGGGACCCCTGATTCATCCTTCCTGGGGCCCCTCAGATGTTCCAGTTTACCAGGGACCAGAAGAGCCCTAGTCTGGAAAAAGCCCGTGGAATGCCCTGGAGAGGATGGCGGCTGGGGCTCTGTCCCCTAGGTGTCTCTGTGTTGGTGTAGCTGAGCCTGGGGGATGGTCCACAGGAGGGTGTACTTTTTTTTTTTTTAAAGATTTTGTATTTATTTATTCAGAGAGACAGAGAGAGAGAGAGAGGCAGAGACAGGCAGAGGGAGAAGCAGGCTCCATGCAGGGAGCCCGACGTGGGACTCGATCCCAGGTCTCCAGGATCACACCCCGGGCTGCAGGCGGCACTAAACCGCTGTGCCACTGGGGCTGCCCAGGAGGGTGTACTTGTGAGGAGGTGTGAGCATGTGGCCAGTTGCATGGGGAGGGGAAGAGGAAAGGCAGGAAGATGAGTGTGTGCCATGATAAACTGCAAGTGGGGCCCTGGCAGTGATGCGTCCCTCTGAGGTGGCAGAGGGAGATGCCAAATTCAACCGGGGCAGCAATCAACAGTCTTTAGAGCTAACAGGACCAGTGATCCAAAACTTGCTCTGCCTCTTCCTAGCCATGAGAGCCCTCTGAGCCTCAGTTTCCACATCTGTAATGTGGGGTATATGATCCCTCCCTCAGGGGGTTCCTGTGGGTACTTTAGGTAATGGATAGACTGCACCCAGCACAGTGCCTGCCTCAGGTGCAGGCGGCAGGAATTGGATTGGACTGACTCCATGCACAGGACAGTCTGGTATTATTCAGGACTGGGAAGAGCACCAAAGTCCTGCTGTGTCCGTGGATCAAGGCAAAGGCCAGAGTGGACCCCCCTCAAGCCCACCCCCTCAGCTGAGCCCATCTGCACTATTAGTGGCCATGGCCACCTCTGGGACACAGCTAGGAAACTGAGGCCCCAGGAAGAGCAGGTGGGACCCCAGTTAAGGAACCATATGCCATGGGCTTGAAGGCCCACCCCCATGCCCCTATGGACTGGGGAAATCACCCCATCCATGCCCTTCACATCTTCACATCTTCCGTCTTCCCCACAGAAGGAGCCCACACACAATCTGATAGAGCAAGATGCGGAACCTCTGAGTGTGGTGCTGTCAGGAAGGAAGACGGGCACAGGTGGACAGCAGGAGAAGCTGTCCTTCACCAATGCTGGCCTGGACACCACAGACCTCTGATGTCCCTGCCACAGGACCCTTGCTGCAGAGTGCCATATGGGCCCCCCCTCTTCTGGTCCACCCTGGAGGATGTCTTGTCACCCCAAACTACACCAACCCTTTTCTGAACACAAGGATAAATTATGCAGCTCGGTCCCCTTCTGCTTGTAGTCAATCACAGCTGACAAGAGTTGGGGGGGAATTTTATTACCAATGTATATTGTGACAGTTTATAGCCAAAAACTGTGGCTGGAGGGCTGGGGACAGGGGTATTGAGTGGTCAGCAGGGAACTCGTGGGGGCTCACAGCACACAGGGACAAGGGGTGGGAGATGGCAGTCTTTAAAGGACAACTGTGGTTGTCTGCCCCTAATACCTAACTCTGTCCTGCCCCTAATACCCAAGACCAGCTGTCAGGCTGCCTGGGACCCAAGACCTTCCATGAGCTTCTTTCTGCTGTGATTCCCAGACCTGTCTGAGACTCTCCTTTCAACTGCGCCCCCAGGGCATTCCTGCAGCTGCCTTCCCCTGTCAGGATTTGTGAGTAGGTGTCCAGTGAGGATGGATAGGGCTGGGGGCTGGGCCAGAGGAAGGGGAGACAGGAATTGGGGACGTCTACCAGCATGCAAGACAGTCTGGGGCCATGGGGGCCAGCCCACTGCATGGACACACACTCTCTCCCGGGCACCTCCTATTTGGAGGCTTGTGCACTCAGGAGTCTCACATACCAATCCTTGCACACTTGGGGCTTTTGTACACGGTGTCTCCCGTTCCGGGGACCTGGCGGCCACTGAGGACTTCAGCCTACCAGTCTGGACTTCTCAGGAACCTGCCTCAGCTCTCAGGTGTGGGCCTGCTGAGCAGAGCCCTGAGATCACCCAGTGTGGCCGGGAGGGAGTGGAGCTGAGATCTGGAAGGGGGACAGGGTGGGTGTCAGGGCTGGGTTCCTGGTCTCATGACCGGGAGGGGGCTGGGCATAGAGGGTTCATTTGTGTGTTTGGCGGGGGCGGGGCGGGGGTGGGCGGGGCGCGGAGGCTGGAAAGAGGAGGAGGAGAAGGCCCTGGAGGCTGCCCACCCCTCGGGGCGCGCGGGGCGCGCGGGGCGGGGGGGGGAACCTCCCACCGTCGAGGGGATCCCTCCTAGGAGCTTGTGGTCAAGAAGGGAGCCTGAAAAGGCTGGAGACCCGGGCGTACAAAAGGGGGGCAGATCACTCGGCCGTGGGTCCGGCTCGGGAGCAGCACCGCGGCCGGCGCACACTCTGCAGCAGCGCGCGGAAGAGGCCAGGCGGGCGCTTGGCGGGCCCCTCGGGGGGCGCGGCGCGCGTGGAGCCGGCACGGCCGGGGCCCGGGCCCGGGCCGGGCGGGCGGCGGGCGGCGGCGCGGGCGCCCCTTGGCGGCCGTGCTCCTCGATCTGTCGCTCCAGGTGCTTCTGGATGGCCATGCCCAGCACCTCCACCTCCATGGCGGCGCCGTACACCTCCCACGTCATGCCCTTTTCGTCCCAGCTCACGTCGCGCACGGGCTCGGCCGCCTCCTGGGGCGCCACGGCGGCTGCCAGCGCGGAGCCGGGCCGCACCCGGACCTCGGGGAAGGCGGGCGGCGCGGCGGGCGGGGCGGCCGCCTGCGGCGTCATGGGCCCGGTGGCCACGGAGCGCGTCTCGGCGGCGCCCAGCGACACCTGCAGGCCCGCGTCCCGGCGCGAGGGGGGCCCGGGCGCGGGGCTGGGCGCGCGCGGCGCCGCCTGGAAGCTGAAGGCCGGGCCCGCGCCGTCCTGCGGAGACATGGGGCTCACGGCCACCGACACGCAGGCCTGAGCGCCCGCCTGCGTGCCCGCGTCCTCCCGCGGCGGGGCGCTCGCCTCCCAGGACGGCGCCTTCGTGAAGTTGTCGCGAGTCCGCGGCCCGGGCGGGGGTCCCGCGGCCTCCGGGCCGGGGCTTCCGTCAGCCCCGGGGGCCCCCAGGTCTGCCGGGCCTAGGCTGGAGGCCTCCGCGCTGGGCGCGGGCGCCGGCCCCGCGAGGCCTCCGCCACTGCCGGCCCCCGCGGGAGAGGGGCCCGGCGCGCACGGCTTGCCGTCCGACTGCCTGGAGGAGGCGGCCCCTGCCTTCTTCAGGGGCAGCGGGGCCAACTTCCCCGAGGACGAGGACGAGGGCTCAGCTCTTCTCGGAGGCGCAGCGTCCTCGGCCTTCGCCGGGACCACAGGCTCCGCCTTCCCGGAGACAGTGGGGTCTGCCCTTCCGGAGGACGCCGGCTCCCCTTTCTCCGGGGCCAGCGGCTTCTCCTTCTGCAGAGACGCGGCGTCTGCTTTTCCCGGTGAAGCCGGGCCCCCCTGCCCTAGGGGCTTTGTGTCTGTTTTGCCTTCAGAGTTGGGTTCTGCCTTCCCTGGAGCCCTGGGATCCACCCTGGTGGAGTTCATAAGATTCTCTGTTTGCGGAGGCAGGGGATCCGCCTTTCCCCCCGGGACAGCTTCTGCTTTTGCCATGGATGCTGGAACTGTTTTTTCTAGAGTCACGGGGGCCAGTATTCCTAAAGACACAGAGTCCACTTCTCCAGAGGGACCACCTTCCACCTTCCCACTGCACACAGTGTCCACCCTGCCGAAGGCCAGGGGATCAGCCTTCCCTGAGGCTGTGGGACCCACTATTCCAGAGGCCATAGGACCTGCCTTCTCTGAGGACAGTGGATCTGCTTTCCCCCCAGTCACTGCCTCAGCTTTTACAGAGGATGAGGGTCTCGCTATCCCCAAGAATTTGGGATGCCCTGGACCGGAGGGCACAGGGTCTATCCTCCCTTTTGATTCAGGATTCACTTTTCCAGAAGATGATGTTTTTGTATTTCCCATAGAAATGAGATCCACCTTTGTGGAGGGCACTGGGTCCTCCTTTCGTAGTGAGACGGTTTCTGTCTTCCTCACAGGCATTGGTTCTGCCTGCCCAGGAGACAAGGGCTCTGGTTTTCCTGAGGGCACAAGATCCACCTTTCCCAAAGAAACTGGACCCACCCTGCCTGAAGACACAGGATCCACATTTGTCAACGATATGGGTTCCATCTTTCCTGAAAATACAGGATCCACCTGCCCAGCAGACATGGTTTTTATCACTCTCATAGACATGGGGTCTCCCTTTCCTGAAGAGGCATTATCTATCTGCCCCAGGATCTGAGGGTCCTCTTCTGTGGAGGACACAGTTTCTGTACTTCCTACAAATGTAGGATCTGTCATCCCCAAGTGAGTAGGCTCCATCCTTACTGAGGACCCCAGAGCCACTGTTCCTGGAGATATAGGCTCAATTTTGCCAGGTGACCCTGGAGTCAGTGTCCCCAAGGACCCAGGATCTGGCTTTCCTGCAGATGCAGAATCTGTGTTTTCTAAGGACCCAGGATCCATCTTTCCTGAGGGCCTAGGATCTCTCTTTCCCAAAGACACAACCTCTGCCTTTCCCACAGATGCAGAAACCATCTCTTCTGAGGCCACAGGAAGCTCTTTTCCTGAATACCTGGGCCCCTCCTTTCTTGGGAACTCAGGACCCACTTTGGCAGAGGATACAGGATCCTCCTTCCCTGGGGACACTGTGTCCACCTTGTCAGAGCACACCGGATCTACCTTTCCCAAGAATCCTGGATCCTCCTTTCTTGGGGTCACAGGATCCATCCTTCCAGATGCCATAGGATCCCCTTTTCCCAAGACCACAGGCTCTGTCTTTACTATAAATGTGGGATCTGCCTTCCTTAAGGACCCAGCATCTTCCTTTCCTATAGAAGTGGAATCTGCCTGCTTTGACGACTTGGGATCCATCTTCTCCAAGAACACAGGATTTCTGTTCTCCAAGGATGTGGGCTCAGTTTTCACTGAGGACACAGGCTCTGGCTTCCCAGAGAAAGTGGTTTCTGTTGTCCCTGAGATCAAGGCTCTATGTGTCCCCAATGTCTCCTTGGTGGCTGCCTCTTGGGGAGGGATACAGGTCAGGGAGGGGCAGGCTGAGCTCCCTCCAGGGCCCTCAGAACAGGAGGTCCCTTCCCCAGCCCCACTGGGGCTGCTGTGTCTAGAATCCATGCCTGGGCTTTGTACAAGGTTGTGCCTAAGGGGTACAGGGCTGGTTTTCTGCTGGGAGGGGCAGCAGTCCCTCATGGCTGGGTTCCCATCCCCCAGGCTCCCATCCTGTGGGCAGCAGAGGGCTGTGGGCTGAGGTGCTGGGCGGCTGGAGTTCTTTCAAAGAAGCTGGAGCCAGGCTGGGTCTTCAGCACTGCCCAACTGCCCTCATGACCATACTTGTGCCCCAAGTGCTATCTGGTTCTGAAACACAAAGAAAACAGACTCAGACTCAGGGAAGATCCAGTGCGGAAGAGCCTCTATCTTCTACCTCTCACCCTTTTTCTAGAAGCTGGGTCTCCTCACTGGGCTCTCTGCCCTCATCTGGTCCTCTCCTGTCCCACCATATCACTCCCATGCTTCTAAAGGTCAGACTTCCCAAAATGACATTCAAGGCCCTTTTCACAACTTGACCACAGTCGAACATTTTCTTCCCCACAGTCTTTCTTTAAAAAAAAAAAATTAAGAGAGAGAGAGAGAACATGGTGGGAGGAACAGAAGGAGAGAGAGAGAGACAGTCTCAAGCAGACTCCATACTGAGCTAGGAGCCCAACACAAGGCTCGATCTCATGACCCTGAGATCACAACCTGAGCTGAAACCAAGGGTTAGACACTTACCAACCATGCCACCCAGGTGTCCTCACAGTCTTTTCACCTTCATCTACCACCACCCCATGCAGCATGCTACCCTGAAGTTATGTTTTTATCCTCTAGGCCCCAGGTCACAAACTCTGATGCTACAGGGGCCAGGTAGATAATTTAAGTGAGGGAAGCAGGCTAGGTATAAAACAATAGGGGATGGTAGGGAAAGCAGCAAAGCGGAGAGTGCATGCCCTGTCTGAAGGTGGAGCCAATACTCCACTCGCCAAGTAGTGCTTTGGAGAAATGCATCCTGGTAGTATCAGTGAGTAGCAGGAAATCCAGAACTTTAACGTAAAGTTAAATCCTAATTCAAGATTTAAAAAGAAAAAAGAACACTATGTGGGTCAAACAAAGTATGTCTGTAGGCCAAGTTTTGGTCTGTGGGAGGCCCTGGGGAGATAGGAATGGTTTACAGTTGAGGAAGGAACAT